AAAATTCTGTCTTGGGATACTTAGTTGGGGGAGAATTGCTTGTGAACAATGCGGCAGGTTCCTCTTCCTGTCATTTGGCAATAAATGCAAAAGATAATTTTCACATTGCGGAACAATTAGCACGTTTTTGGGAAGTAGACTCGTATTTACCCACCCCTGTCATAAACGGGCGCCATAAGCCCCAGTTGAACGACCCGTGTGAATCGTCATTTCTTAATACTTTTCAAAGAAATGCCGCAGGACGGTTCATTGTACAATTACCGACAAAGCACAGTACAATTGATCTAGGTGATAGTTTAGAAATAGCAAAGGGTAGGTTTTTCAATTTGGAGAAAAGATTTGCGAAGTTTCCCACACTGTATCAAAATTACAAACAGTTCATGGATGAATACAAATTATTAGGTCATATGATACAAATTCCGATCAATGAATTAAACAAACCCAATGTGTATTACATACCACATCATGCAGTTTACAAGGGAGATAAAATCAGAGTGGTCTTTGACGCAAGCGCAAAATCAACCAATAATATGAGCTTGAACGACAATTTGCTAAGTGGACCAACTATTCAGGAAGATTTGTTTTCTATTGTAACGAGATTTAGATTATTTAATTTTGTCATTAAGGCCGACATTAAAAAGATGTATCGGCAAATATTAATTAACAAAAATCAAGTTGATTACCAACGAATTCTTTGGCGCGATGATCCCAGTAAACCTTTGGAATTTTATAGATTATTAACCGTTACATATGGGATCACGTCGTCCCCATTCTTGGCAATTCGATGCTTGCAACAATTAGCGCATGAATTTAAAAATCAATTCCCCGAAGCTTGTCAAATCATAACTAGGGACTTTTACGTAGACGATCTGCTAACTGGAACTAATTCAAAGGAAGAGGCGTTGCAATTAAAGGAACAATTATCTTTCATATTAAGAACTGGAGGTTTCGAATTAACTAAATGGGCATCAAATGAGAGGGATATTTTTGATAACGCGAACAGTCGACAATCAAGTGCAGTTAATTTAGACAACACCGAGCAAACAAAAACTTTGGGCGTATTTTGGAATTGCAACAATGACGAACTGTTCTATAAGGTTGAGGATAGTCAGTTACACACAAAATTAACTAAGCGAGGAATTTTGTCAGTAATTTGCAAAATTTTTGACCCACTTGGGTTAATCAGTCCTATTGTTATTCGGGCAAAATTAATACTACAACAGTTATGGAAGTTCAACTTAGAATGGGACGAAGTGGTACCAGATAATATCCGTAAACTTTGGTACAATCTTATAAGCGATATTAAATTGTTAAATTCAGTTAGAGTTCCGAGACACGTCCTTACAAAGAATCCAGTACGTATTGAGTTGCTAGGTTTTGCAGGGCGGACGCCAACTGGGCACCAACTAATCGCAGGTAAATTTTGCGGGTAGTTACGATAGGCCAACTCGGCACCGAACCGCAAATAAAGATCGGTGAACTCGGCACTACAGCACCAGGTATGGTAACAAGGATTAATCCGCCCTCTCCCCGAGATACCTTCCCTCTATTCAAATAGTTATATGCAAATAAATAACACAAGTCTGCAAATTTAACTTTTGAAAATTTGTTTTTGTTCTGATGGCTGTCTTGGGTAGTTTTTTTAGCGTTGATTACGTCTATGATATCTGGTTGTCGCTTTCACGTAAGGTTTATTTGTAAAACAAGATTAAAACTGAAATTTTTAAGTAGTATAAGAATATTATAAAAATACGTAATAGATTTTTTTCATAATCTACATACAAAAATTTATTGGATGATGTGATTTTTCTGTTAACAGGACCGATTTTATTTTTTACTTTAATTTTTTGGTTTTTTAAAATTTGTAGGTGATAGAATGTTTTCAATAGCTTTTTCTCGTGATTAGCGTTTAAAAATCTAGGCGATAACTCGAGGATTACATATTTTTATGTTATTTAAACAATATTTTTTTTTAGACGTGATAGAATTTTGTTAGTATTTTTCCTGTAATTAACGTACTAAACTCTATCGAATAAGTCATTTCTCTACACGCGAAGGCAAGGTAAGGTTTCTGTTTTCATTCTATTGAACTTATTCTTTTTTTTTGTGGAGGTGGGATCTAAACGTGCTGGAATTTTTTGCAATTTTTTTCCGTTATCAGTGTCCATAAATCTAGTAGACCAACAACCTGTCAAAGTTAAGACACGTTTTTTGTTGCAGGCCTGTGTAATAATTGAAAACTAGATGAAATACTTTGTATTAAATGAAAAATACTTAGATACAATGATTTATTTTATATACAATTAATCTTATTATTAATAATTACAAATTTTGTATCTATGCGATATCAGTTTGACGAATTCGTAGTCTGTTAAGATGCCGTTTTTTAAGTTGATGCAATTCATCTTCTAAAAACAATTCGGCTTGTCGAACCCTACGTGTTTTTATCACTGCTGGGATATGTATAGATTGAATTTTAATATATATACTGGTCTATATATATATACATAAGCTGCTACTACTGGTTCATTCATGAACTACCTGAAGCGGGTGGTTGGTGTCGAGTTGGCTTATCGTCAAAGGTTAGTTTTTAAAATTACCTGAAATTGCTGGTGCCGAATTGGCGTGTTTATTTTATGACGGATTAGGCTCGGTGCCGAGTTCACCTCTACCCGTTTTGCAGACGCTTCAGAATTAGCATATGGCGCAATATTATACGTAAGATGCAGCAATAAAAAAGGTGATTCCACCACCAACTTATTAGTGTCAAAGTGGCGTGTTGCTTCATTAAAGGCGCTGACAATCCCTCGCTTGGAACTGTTAGCTGCTTTGTTACTTGCTAGATTAACAGATCGTGTACTACAAACGACCAACATAAATTTTGATAGAATAAGTTTATATACTGATTCAACAATAGTATTAGCATGGCTATCCAAGCCCTCCACCACCTGGAAAACATTTGTGGCAAATCGGGTGGAGGAAATTCATAATTTAACAAAAGGCGTTTTTTGGCAACACATCGATACGCATAACAATCCAGCAGATTTAGTTTCCCGGGGTACAGGGACTCGTAATTTATTAACAAGTAATTTATGGTGGCACGGGCCACTCAATTTGGATATTTCAAACGCAGGCAATGTGAGTAACGTTCACCAATTAACTGAAGTACCTGAAGCAAGGACAACAACTAGTAGTTCTAACGTTGTAACCATTAATACTTTTGAGTTGTTCGATAAATTCTCAGATTTTGTAAAATTAAAAAAATGCATCGCTTGGATGTACAGGTTTATTAACAATTGTAGAGTTAAAAACAGAAGCTTATCTGTAAGTTTAGATGATGCGCAATCCTCTAACAGTAATCATATTCTCGCATTGACAATCAATGAATTACAGTTTGCACATGATGTATTAATTAAGCTAGTACAAAACGAGACTTTCTCGCAGGAATTAAATTTGTTGAATTCTAATCAAGACATAAATAAGTCGAGTAAATTACTGAACCTAAGTCCTTTTATTGATATGCAAGGCATAATTAGAGTAGGGGGTAGGTTACGGAATGCGAATTTATCATTTGATAAAAAACACCCAATAATCTTGCCAAAAAATCACCCTCTAACAAAAATGATAATTCGGCATTTTCACATAGTAAATTTGCATGCTGGGGCTCAGGCAACTCTTGCCGCTATTCGTCATTCTTATTGGATAATAGCTGGGCCAGGGCCGGCTCTAAGGGACCAGGCGCCCCGATGCAAACTTACTGTTCAACGCCCTTAAAAAAAATTTTGTAAAAAAAAAACAATTAAAGTTTTGTAATCACATATTTTTGTAGAGAGATACTTTTTATTAACAAACATGCATAAAATTATGATGAATCAATCTTAATATATAAAAGTGTTTGTCTTAACTGACAGACTGACTGATTCATCAACGCAAAGCCTAATCTACTGAAGCTACAAACATGAAATTTGGACAGTAGGTTACTTTTGTGTCATAAGCGCCCATTCAGAAAAGATTTCTGGAAATTCCGCCCCTACGGGGACAAAATAGGGGATGACACTTTGTGCAGAAATGCCGTGAGTTTTTAAGTCAGACGGGTTCACTGGGGAGGTAGGAGTGAACGAGATGAAAAATGATAATTTCGGAGGCTTGCACGGTCGGAGTCAATACATGATCGTTCTCCGGGTTGGAACCGTGTAATTTCTCAAAAGAGTTTCGCCTCTGGTATGGTTGACATACTGAGTTACCGTGCTCTTTTGCCTTATTCTTAATCCTGCTCCTGAAGATGCCACTTACGAAAGTATGCGAAACGTTGAGCCGAAAAACCCAATTTACACGGTTCCAACCCGGAAAACGATCATGTATGAAAAATGATGAGTCGTAATTGCGAATTCCACGCAAATGAAGCTGCGAGCAACAACTTTTCTATAGTTTAGGAAATATCGTTGTACCCTATAAAATTTTCTTGCCAATAACGAGACGGAGAGTAGTACAATAACAAGAGATATTTACAATTTAAAGTTGTCGCGTGGCGGTAATCCGCAGACCTTAAATTTCTAAAACAGCGGAAGTCCGACCCTATGCGTACAATTACCTGCTAAATGTTCTCCGACAAATTCGGGGGGACTGGTGTGAGCCATAAATATTTCTTACCACTGTACTACTGTCCGCCTCGTTATTGTCAATAAAATTTTATAGGGTACACCGATATTTCCTAAACTATACATAGTATAAATATAAAAATATTTATATTGCAAACGTTTTTCAATTTTTAATATTGTAAAATTGATACGATTTCAAAATTATTTTTAATTTAGACTTATCTCAATGTTAATCGAAATTTAAATTTAAAATTAATGATGACAAAAAGCCACGAAATGATACACACAACCAAATTCGGCTACAAACAGGAACAGTGAAAAATATAACAAAACTGTTGAACAACCACCACAACCAAAACCAACCGACTAGACTTGGAAAATAAAATTTTTTAGTATGCCGACATGGACTTTTATGGTAAAAACAAACGTGACAAATGTTGGGAAAAACATCTGGGTGTGGTCATACGGCTGTCTCGTCAAACTGTTACCCAGAAAATGCATCATAAATCTGGTTATTTTTTGTCGGTATTGATCTAAAGGTCCCATCACCCAACCCAAAGGCGCACTTTTTTTCAATTATTACAGTTTGAAAGTGCCAGGAATTGACTTCTTGGGATCTGTTTTGGTGGTCATAGTGGAATGTTAAAATGTAGCTTTTTCTGAAAAGTTTTCGATGGGCGCCTTGGTCTGTTACTGCTATAATATTTTATTGGTAGTGATTCAATGCAAAACTGATATTAATTTATTTTTACAGAGTTAATATAAAAGCATAGGCGACGCCCGCCGCCCGCCGCCCTTTGCCACGGGCGCCCCGATGCGGTGCATCTTTCGCTTACCGTGTTAAGCCGGCCCTGAGCTGGGCGTAACACAATACGATCCGTTTTACACAAGTGCATTACCTGCTTTCGAGCAAAACCCACAATAGCGCACCAAAAGATGGGTGATCTGTACCCCCAGAACCACGTCTTGAGCCTGTACGTCCGTTTTTTAAAACAGGTGTGGATTATTGTGGACCCATTTTTATTAAAGAAAGCCGAGGCCGCGGTAAAAAGTCAATGAAGGCATATATTGCGTTATTTATTTGCCTATGTACCAAGGCAGTACACCTAGAGTTGGTAAGTGACTTGACGTCCGAAGGTTTCTTGAACGCACTTAGGCGTTTTATTTCTCGTAGAGGTCAAGTAAAAGAGTTGCATTCGGACAATGCTACAAATTTTGTCGGTAGTAAAAATCAGTTAAAAGAGTTAAGGGGCATTTTAAAAAATGATATCAGTAAGAGTACCATTATTAACCATTTGGCAAATCAAAACATTAAATGGTGTTTTATTCCGTCGAGAACGCCAAATTTCGGTGGCACTTGGGAGGCCAATATTAAAATAGTACAATCTCACATGAAAAGGGTTATTGGTGAACAAATTTTGACCTTCGAAGAAATGCACACGTTTCTGACAAGAATAGAGGCTTGCCTCAATTCCCGTCCACTAACCCCTCTTTCCTCTGATCCCAACGACCTCGAAGCTCTAACTCCGGGCCATTTTTTAATTGGAGAAGCGTTGACGGCGCCGGTAGAGATCAACCTAGAGGACGTCAGACTCAATCGCTTGAGTCGTTGGCAAATGGTGGAGAAGATGAGGCAGCACTTCTGGAAACGATGGTCCCGAGAATACGTTGTCCAACTACAACAGCGCAACAAATGGAAGATTGAGACAGCGGCGGTCCAACCTTGAGCTCTGGTACTGCTCGTTGAAGACGGCCTTCCCCCGTTGCATTGGCCACTCGGTCGCATCCAGGAGGTGCACCACGGCAACGATGGTCTTGTGCGTGTAGTTACGGTCAAAACGAACAAGGGACTGTATAAACGCGGCATTAGCAAAATTTGCGTAGTGCCCATGGACGATGACAAAAACAAGTGAAGGTGCGTTCCAGAAAAATAAGTCTGCGGACTTAACAAGTGAAAGTGCGTTCCAGAAAAAATAAGTCTGCGGACTTAACAAGTAAAAGTGCGGTCCTGAAAAATAAGTTTGCGGACTATTTTAAGGTGCGGCCCGAACAAATTAAGTTACTTTTTTTGAGGTTCAACAAAAATTGTTTGGAACAATCAATTTATATTAGTAATTAAATGAAGTGTAATCATAATTAAAATTATTTCCGTTATTGTTATCATATTACTATTAGCGTTTTTTAATCCACATTGATATTGTTACTCATATTTAAGATATACTTGTGTTCGTATTACATATTAGTTGCATACAAATTTGAGTCCATTAGGACGTCAAGGGGGGCGGCGATGGTACGTCTCACTTTACGGTTATTACACCCTACCGGTCCAACGACCTTGAAGGGTACTTTTCCTGTATTGTAAATAGTGTAAATAAAGTCAGTCAGGGGTCCTGAAATGAGATAGCCTTCACCTTATCCTCTCACTGCGTGGTTCAGAGCCCGCCGCCAGAGGTCGGAATAAAAAGATATCTGTAAAAGCTGATTCGCGCAGATTTTCAAAATTTTAAAATTTGTTTACACCCCCTCCTCTTCTACCCTTTGTCATCACTTTCACCCCAAATGAATCACCATTCAATCACTCAGTTCATTTACGTTTTTCTCGGTTTTCTGCGTGATTTGTGTTTGAAACGACTTGTGAATTTATTTTATTGAATTTCAGTGTCTAATTTACAAATGTGAGTACATAAGTTTGATTTTACAATATTATTATTATTATCAATTTTTGTAGAAAAAAATGCAAGGCAGTCATACATGTTCTGTACACGAATGTGCTGCGAGATTGAAACCCATCTTTAGGTTTCCACACCCAAATCGGGGCCTTGATCGGTTTCTCGCGTGGGTTAAAGCCGCGAATAACCCAAAATTCGTGGTTTTGACCCACGACCAAATTCACCGAAGGGGGTACATTTGTTTCCAGCATTTTCAACCCGAGGATTATGTACCAGGAACACAAAGGCTGCGTCGATCTGCAGTACCAACCATTTTGCCTCCTCGAGGTAAACAAATTGAAAGTTGCTAGAAAACAAATATTACGATATCTTTACTTATAGATGATAACGAACTGCGTTCATCACTCGAAGCAGATCAGATCGACGTGTCCAATGTAGGGCCACAAACCATTGATCTCACTTTCCTCACTCCAGAAAAAGAATGCCCGTACTTTCATGCAATAGCAAATTTAACTCCACGTACGAGACGAACTCCAAGTTCTCAAAGTAAGTAACCATTGCAACTATTTCAGTATGTATAGCACTAACTATTTTCCACTTTATAGGTTTAGCTACTAAACTGGAGACTCTCGGGGGTAGAAGTGCATGGAGTACTGGCGTTCCAGTGCGACAACTGAATTTTGGAGCAGGTATTGTAGTGCTAAAAAAATTAAATAAATCGAGAGAAAATAATATTACTTACCTTACAGAAGAGGATGGGATCAATGAGCTCCCTGGTGCTGGGCCTTCGGGGTTACAAAATATTCCAAAAATAGGTAAGAAACTGTAATGTTTGACCCCATGTTTTACAAATGATAAAATATAAAACTGTGGTGGATTGCAAAACTTCATCATTTGTTTATAAAACAACATTTTTGTACCGCAGCGTGGCGTCACTTCGCTTTTCTGTGCGTATATGTCATATGTTCATTAATCGCCAACACCTGTCAAAGCAGGTAAAAAAGCAGTGGCGTAACTTCGGCTGGTGAAACACCTTTTTGTTTCGACTTGAGATTGTAATGTTTTTGTATTGACAAAAAAATATTTTATTATATTTACATTGGTAAATTTACCAATAATAAATATAATAAAAATAAAATAAAACATTTTAGGTATGTGTTTTATTAATTTTTATAGTAAAAATGATGAAATTAGTTCGCATCCGCCTTCAAACCGTACAGTAATAATTCTTTTACTGCATAGCAACCTCAAATTCATTAAAACAAAATATATTATACGCGCCTCCATAGAAAAGTCTTTTCACAACTCGTATACTATTAAGTTAACTTATAATTAATTTATATTGCCCATTTTTAGATTTTGCTGGAAACTTTGTACCTGCCAGGCAGTCGGTGGATACTTCCAAGTCCATGACCAAGACTCCACGTATGTATTTTGATATACAGACTAAAAATGATGAAATTAATTCATATTCGTGTACATTACAGGAAAAATATTAGATCGGCTGGGGATCAAAGGGACCACCGTCAATTTTAGCAGCAATGAAACCCTGCTGTACGTGGAGGCGAAACGCCTGCAAAGGCAAGTGGGGAGACTGCAGAGGCAGGCACAAAAGCGCAAAAGCGCACTTCATTCTGTTAAACAACTTCTGCGAGATCGACAACTGGTTCATCTCGTGGAAGGGTTGTCTCCCCTACAGCAGAGATTTTTTAACAGCCAGATTAGAAATGTAAATCGTAAACCGAAAGGCAGAAGTTTTACGTTTGAGGAGAAGGTAGATGCCATTGCCATTTGGAAACATGGCCCAAAAACGTATAAACTTCTGTCAAGAATGTTTACGCTGCCGTCTATTGACACTCTGAGGGCAACCCTAAATAAAGTTCCAATAGAACCGGGTATCAACAAACCCATTTTCGAAGTTCTCAGAAAGCAAGTATGTCGCAGAATGGACAGTAAGTACAATTTATGTACTCTCATCTTTGATGAAATGTCCATTCAGCCTCACCTCGACTACTTGCCTTGTGAGGACAGAGTTGTGGGTTTTGAAGATGACGGTACAACAAGGTCGGAAAAAATTGCAGACCATGTTTGCGTATTTATGCTAAGAGGAATTTTCAAAAGGTGGAAGCAGCCTGTTGCTTTTGCTTTTTGCAAAAACTCTATGTCTGCTGCAAACATTGTCCGTTTTTATAAAGAGATTGTGAAAGAAGCAACAGCGGTCGGCTTAAACATCATTGCTTCAGTTTGTGATCAAGGTACTACAAACAGTGCCGCAATCAATATGCTTTTACAAGAAACCAAACGACGTGCTATTTTGGGAAATGAAGAGGAAGTTGAAGAGAATGTGATAAGAATTGGTGATCACGAAGTTATCCCTCTCTTTGATCCTCCTCATCTTCTAAAAAGTATGCGAAACAATCTTCTCACCAAAGATCTGCTTTATGTAGAAAAATCAGGTGTAGAGAGAAGAGCTTCTTGGAGTTTTTTTGAAAAGGCATATGATTTGGATCATACGGAGGGTGACACCCTGAGAGTGATGACAAAGATCACCATAGACCATGTGAAGCCTAACTTAAGAGGCAAAAAAATGAAAGTTCGTTATGCTTCACAGGTCTTTAGCTCAACTGTTGCTAAGTTCATATATCTCTGTTCCACCGGGGCATTAGGGGGAAGCATACCACCTGATGCTCGATACACTTGCAATTTGTTTTTGTTCATGGATTCTGTCTTTGACAGCGTTAATGGAGGATTTGGAGACTGTGGTGGTAAGAAATTACGTCAAATGGTAGGAGATGACACTCTTCATCATAGTTTTTGGCTGGAAGGGAAACGCATGTTCAGCAATATGAGATTTGAACCACGTAAATCTGGAGATCGAGCAAAACCTCCAGTTTTGCAAGGGTGGTATCGTACTTTAAATGGTTTTATGCTTATCAAGGAAACTCTAAAGAAACTTGGTTATAACTCTTTCCCAGCAAGAGCTTTTAATCAAGATCCTTTAGAAAATTTTTTTGGTCAATTAAGACAATATGGAGTACGATATACAAATCCGTCTTGCAAAGCATTCGTACCATTTTATAAATCACTAATGATGAAGAATTTTTGCTCCTATCATTCTCGTGGATCTAATTGTGAGCAAGATGACGAGTCATTTGTGGTCTCAATTAGAGAGTTTCTTAGTCTTGATATAAATCGTAAGTGTATCGAAGATCAGTGGAAGCCGCCACCAGTTCCTGATACTGTGTCTGAGGATAATTTTTATGACCAAAATGTTATAGGTTATATTGGCGGATTTCTAGTTAAACACATGCCAAAACCACTTGACTGTGAAATCTGTCGATTTAACTTGATACATGATGGCGTCCCAAACATTCAATATCATGGTCTGGTGGTGCAGAAGGAGTATGATGGTGAAAAAAGACGGTTGCAATACGCGAATGTCGAGATGATTAAAACTCTAATTAAGATTTATAATCATCTCGTCATTTTGGTTCCGTCTGCAATTTATCATCCTTCTCTTTCTCAAAGGTTAATAAGCCACCTGCGAATTACAGTTGATTTTGATTTTCGGGAGTGCTTACATACCGAAGAACTGAAAGCTCAACTTTTTCATCTATTTATAAGAGTGTATATCTTTAGATACATGAAAAAACTCAGCAATTTCGTATTTGGTAAGGAAGAGCCTAACAAATCAACTTCACTGGAAAGACAAATGCAACTATTATATTTACGTTTTAAAAAAAGAAAGAGAACGTTTGTATAATTTTGCATTTCGCAGGCTATACATCAGCTTAGTTTTGTTCATATCGGAAGAAAGTAGTGTGCTGGGTTTAATTGTGATATTTCTGACGGTATGAATGAAAAGTGCAAAGGCAGTTTGCATTTCTACTGGTTGTTTGTATTTTAAAAATGTCTTGTCCATATTCTGTTTCTTTTCTTATTTTAATATATTGTAACTAATGTAAGTTATTAGAGAACACTTTATTCACACTGTCATTTTTAGCAAATTGTTGTTATATTGCAGTATTTTCATTTATAAATCAATTTTAAACATTTCATACCTGAAATGTTATTGTATTATGCGCTTTTCGTTGGCTTTTGCTATTTTTCTAATATTATATTATAAATATATATTTATATATTATACTATATATTTTCGTAAGAACTGTTATTGTTATATAGTAATATTTTCATTTATAAATCACTTTTACGTTTCAATATACTATGTATTCTATCTTACATGTATCATTTTTTTAAACTGTTTGTGTGTTTTTGTATGTTAGTCTCAAAACGTATTAAGGCGTTTTGAAACTAGCATATAAAAATTCACAAACAATGTTTTCCCCTTCACTTTATAAAAAAATTCACCAGCAAAATTCACTTTCAAATTTTGCGCCGCTTTTAGTTCCTAAGCCTGGTGCTAGAGGCGCTCTTAGTGAACAAAACGCAAGTATTAGAGACCGTGTTCTAAGGGAGGGTATTCTATGAAGTCAGTTCAGCACCAACCCTCGTCTGATTCACACCACCACCCGCGCGACATAACCATAATGCTTATGTTCGATCTGTTTTAGAATACCGTAGTATTATGTGGGCGCCATATTTCAATGTGCACATTAATAGATTAGAGGCGGTGCAAAAAAGATTTGTGAAATTTGTTTGTCTTAAATTCAATATTTATGATTCTAGAGATAAGTATATAGATATGTATTTTAAAATATCTTGGATTAACACCTTTACATCAAAGACGACAATTTTTTGAGGCTGCTTTTTTGTATAAAGTTTTAATGGCCGTTATAGATTGTAATTCAATATTATCTATTTTCGCGTTACATGCCCCTAGTCGTGATGTACGTAATCCACGGTTTTTGGAAATCCCATTTCGTAGAATCTTATACGGTAAAAATTCTGGTAGTACTAGATTATCAAGACTTGCAAGTAAGTACTTTATATAATGTTGATTTTGTTATTTCATTTAACAATTTTAAAAACAAATGTAAGACTGAATTAGGACTGAATTTGGGTTTTGATTTTTTTTTTGTCTTTTTTTTCTTTCTTCTATTTGTATAATATATATCCGTCAATAAAGTTTATTATTAATATTATTAAAAAACAACTAAAAAGTTCAGTCAATCTGTAAAAAGTGTGATGTAGCTCTACATGTAAAAGAATGTTTTTATTTGTAACATATTCAAAAATAGAAATTTTGACTGGTTAATTACATTTAATGTAATTATGTAGTTATTTTATAAAATTGTAAAGTCCTACGGTCTTTTTAAAGGAACTGGTGTCTTTTCAAAAAGTACGTTTTTTTTGTCGTTTTATATGACAAAAACCAATATAACACAAATCTAAAAGATAAAAACAAAAAATTACAAAAAAAAAGTTTCAGGACTACCTGCACAGAGAAAAACACTTTCTTGAAATAAGAATTTTAATTTATTTGAATGTCATTTCTTCGAGCGAAAAATATTTGTTTTATATGAAAATTAATATTTTTTATAGGAATAAATGAGTTTGTTTGACTTATATTCTTTGTTTTTTTGTGTTTAAAAAATTGGCCATCTTTCACCCAAGACAATAGAGTACCACACTAAAAAAATATTTAATTAAATTTCAGAAACAATTCAAATATGTTAAGACAATTAGACGATTTCTTTACTTCAAAAAAATGTAGACAATTTTTTAGTTTATCACTGTAACATGGAATCTTACTTTTTTCGAGTAATTAAAGTGTAAATTTTAATAAATGGCTCAAAATATTTCATGATGTAAAAAAAAAATTTTCAAATTCGAGTTTTTTCGTTTTTTGCGTTTCCTCTGAAAATTTGCCATAGTAATGTATCATTTTTTACACCATCAGAAAGTAGAGATTTCAGCGAACAAAAAGCACACCGATTTTTTAAAATAAGCAAATATATCGACGTGAGAATTTTCGATTGAAAATTAGGGTACTTTTTCGATATTAAATCAAATAAATATTCCGAATAAAAAAAATTACAGTCAGTTTGGGACATGTTGGAAGTGGACGGTACAGTGTACGAGTAACAGCGTCCGTGGTCTGCGTTGATGTATTAACGCAGACGACGACAGCGTCAATAACGTAGGCGGTACCGGTGACACTACCGGCAGAACCGATCGGGCGCGTGCGCGAGCACGGCTAAGAAGAAGAACCATAGAAAACCCTACAATAGAAGCTAATGTGATATAGACTGCGCTTGTATCTTTCACTGCGTATTTTCTTCCCCACTCACCAGGGGTCGCATGAAAAAAAACCTGTAAACGCTGATTCGCGCGGATTTTCAAAAGGCAAGGTACACAGAGAAAAACACTTTCTTGAAATAAGAATTTTAATTTATTTGAATGTCATTTCTTCGAGCGAAAAATATTTGTTTTATATGAAAATTAATATTTTTTATAGGAATAAATGAGTTTGTTTGACTTATATTCTTTGTTTTTTTGTGTTTAAAAAATTGGCCATCTTTCACCCAAGACAATAGAGTACCACACTAAAAAAATATTTAATTAAATTTCAGAAACAATTCAAATATGTTAAGACAATTAGACGATTTCTTTACTTCAAAAAAATGTAGACAATTTTTTAGTTTATCACTGTAACATGGAATCTTACTTTTTTCGAGTAATTAAAGTGTAAATTTTAATAAATGGCTCAAAATATTTCATGATGTAAAAAAAAAATTTTCAAATTCGAGTTTTTTCGTTTTTTGCGTTTCCTGTGAAAATTTGCCATAGTAATGTATCATTTTTTACACCATCAGAAAGTAGAGATTTCAGCGAACAAAAAGCACACCGATTTTTTAAAAAAAGCAGATATATCGACGTGAGAATTTTCGATTGAAAATTAGGGTACTTTTTCGATATTAAATCAAATAAATATTCCGAATAAAAAAAATTACAGTCAGTTTGGGACATGTTGGAAGTGGACGGTACAGTGTACGAGTAACAGCGTCCGTCGTCTGCGTTGATGTATTAACGCAGACGACGACAGCGTCAATAACGTAGGCGGTACCGGTGACACTACCGGCAGAACCGATCGGGCGCGTGCGCGAGCACGGCTAAGAAGAAGAACCATAGAAAACCCTACAATAGAAGCTAATGTGATATAGACTGCGCTTGTATCTTTCACTGCGTATTTTCTTCCCCACTCACCAGGGGTCGCATGAAAAAAAACCTGTAAACGCTGATTCGCGCGGATTTTCAAAAGGCAAGGTACACAGAGAAAAACACTTTCTTGAAATAAGAATTTTAATTTATTTGAATGTCATTTCTTCGAGCGAAAAATATTTGTTTTATATGAAAATTAATATTTTTTATAGGAATAAATGAGTTTGTTTGACTTATATTCTTTGTTTTTTTGTGTTTAAAAAATTGGCCATCTTTCACCCAAGACAATAGAGTACCACACTAAAAAAATATTTAATTAAATTTCAGAAACAATTCAAATATGTTAAGACAATTAGACGATTTCTTTACTTCAAAAAAATGTAGACAATTTTTTAGTTTATCACTGTAACATGGAATCTTACTTTTTTCGAGTAATTAAAGTGTAAATTTTAATAAATGGCTCAAAATATTTCATGATGTAAAAAAAAATTTTTCAAATTCAAGTTTTTTCGTTTTTTGCGTTTCCTGTGAAAATTTGCCATAGTAATGTATCATTTTTTACACCATCAGAAAGTAGAGATTTCAGCGAACAAAAAGCACACCGATTTTTTAAAAAAAGCAGATATATCGACGTGAGAATTTTCGATTGAAAATTAGGGTACTTTCTAGATATTAAATCAAATAAATATTCCGAATAAAAAAAATTACAGTCAGTTTGGGACATGTTGGAAGTGGATGGTATAGTGTACGAGTAACAGCGTCCGTGGTCTGCGTTGATGTATTAACGCAGACGACGACAGCGTCAATAACGTAGGCGGTACCGGTGACACTACCGGCAGAACCGATCGGGCGCGTGCGCGAGCACGGCTAAGAAGAAGAACCATAGAAAACCCTACAATAGAAGCTAATGTGATATAGACTGCGCTTGTATCTTTCACTGCGTATTTTCTTCCCCACTCACCAGGGGTCGCATGAAAAAAAACCTGTAAACGCTGATTCGCGCGGATTTTCAAAAGGCAAGGTACACAGAGAAAAACACTTTCTTGAAATAAGAATTTTAATTTATTTGAATGTCATTTCTTCGAGCGAAAAATATTTGTTTTATATGAAAATTAATATTTTTTATAGGAATAAATGAGTTTGTTTGACTTATATTCTTTGTTTTTTTGTGTTTAAAAAATTGGCCATCTTTCACCCAAGACAATAGAGTACCACACTAAAAAAATATTTAATTAAATTTCAGAAACAATTCAAATATGTTAAGACAATTAGACGATTTCTTTACTTCAAAAAAATGTAGACAATTTTTTAGTTTATCACTGTAACATGGAATCTTACTTTTTTCGAGTAATTAAAGTGTAAATTTTAATAAATGGCTCAAAATATTTCATGATGTAAAAAAAAATTTTTCAAATTCAAGTTTTTTCGTTTTTTGCGTTTCCTGTGAAAATTTGCCATAGTAATGTATCATTTTTTACACCATCAGAAAGTAGAGATTTCAGCGAACAAAAAGCACACCGATTTTTTAAAAAAAGCAGATATATCGACGTGAGAATTTTCGATTGAAAATTAGGGTACTTTCTAGATATTAAATCAAATAAATATTCCGAATAAAAAAAATTACAGTCAGTTTGGGACATGTTGGAAGTGGATGGTATAGTGTACGAGTAACAGCGTCCGTGGTCTGCGTTGATGTATTAACGCAGACGACGACAGCGTCAATAACGTAGGCGGTACCGGTGACACTACCGGCAGAACCGATCGGGCGCGTGCGCGAGCACGGCTAAGAAGAAGAACCATAGAAAACCCTACAATAGAAGCTAATGTGATATAGACTGCGCTTGTATCTTTCACTGCGTATTTTCTTCCCCACTCACCAGGGGTCGCATGAAAAAAAACCTGTAAACGCTGATTCGCGCGGATTTTCAAAAGGCAAGGTACACAGAGAAAAACACTTTCTTGAAATAAGAATTTTAATTTATTTGAATGTCATTTCTTCGAGCGAAAAATATTTGTTTTATATGAAAATTAATATTTTTTATAGGAATAAATGAGTTTGTTTGACTTATATTCTTTGTTTTTTTGTGTTTAAAAAATTGGCCATCTTTCACCCAAGACAATAGAGTACCACACTAAAAAAATATTTAATTAAATTTCAGAAACAATTCAAATATGTTAAGACAATTAGACGATTTCTTTACTTCAAAAAAATGTAGACAATTTTTTAGTTTATCACTGTAACATGGAATCTTACTTTTTTCGAGTAATTAAAGTGTAAATTTTAATAAATGGCTCAAAATATTTCATGATGTAAAAAAAAATTTTTCAAATTCAAGTTTTTTCGTTTTTTGCGTTTCCTGTGAAAATTTGCCATAGTAATGTATCATTTTTTACACCATCAGAAAGTAGAGATTTCAGCGAACAAAAAGCACACCGATTTTTTAAAAAAAGCAGATATATCGACGTGAGAATTTTCGATTGAAAATTAGGGTACTTTTTCGATATTAAATCAAATAAATATTCCGAATAAAAAAAATTACAGTCAGTTTGGGACATGTTGGAAGTGGACGGTATAGTGTACGAGTAACAGCGTCCGTCGTCTGCGTTGATGTATTAACGCAGACGACGACAGCGTCAATAACGTAGGCGGTACCGGTGACACTACCGGCAGAACCGATCGGGCGCGTGCGCGAGCACGGCTAAGAAGAAGAACCATAGAAAACCCTACAATAGAAGCTAATGTGATATAGACTGCGCTTGTATCTTTCACTGCGTATTTTCTTCCCCACTCACCAGGGGTCGCATGAAAAAAAACCTGTAAACGCTGATTCGCGCGGATTTTCAAAAGGCAAGGTACACAGAGAAAAACACTTTCTTGAAATAAGAATTTTAATTTATTTGAATGTCATTTCTTCGAGCGAAAAATATTTGTTTTATATGAAAATTAATATTTTTTATAGGAATAAATGAGTTTGTTTGACTTATATTCTTTGTTTTTTTGTGTTTAAAAAATTGGCCATCTTTCACCCAAGACAATAGAG